CTGTACCCACAAGATAAATTATATGTAGGCTGATACAGGTGCAGAGGAAAGACTAAGGGGGGTACACTATGCACGCTATATGTGAAGTGACAAAATGGCGCCGGGACAGAGAGGTGGCCGCTGGCACTTGAAATTTATATGAACACAGAATAGGCTCATAAACTGGATTAGACTCACCTTGGTGGCCAACAGCAAAGAGATGAATGTGGAGAGTAGAGTTTTATTGCATTATGGTCTATCTTGTGTGTATTCTAAAAAAACAAAATTTATGTTCTTACAGTTTCTTTGGGAAGTTATTCGGTAAAGAAAGTAAACCAAATATGAAGCCTCCTGCATTGACATAAAATTCAACTATACCCAGATAGAAAATGAGATGGGGAGCATTGTGATATGATGTGACAAGTTTCATCAATACATCTATGGGCACAAAAAACAGTGATCACAAACCACTTGTAAGTCTAGTGGAAAATATGCTTTCAGCTCCACCAAGGCTGCAAAGAATGCTCTTAAGATTTCAAAAACATAATGAAACTGTAGTATATGTACCAGGACCAAAACAATATAAACTAAGGAAACAGACTTGGAGAAGCACGTGTGTTCTGTTTTGGTACAATTGCCAACCACTGATAAAACAAAAAAACATTTAGCTACAAAGAAGGACAAACCTATGTCCAAATTGATCAAAATAATAAGGCAAGGCTGACCAAAGTCAACATTCAAAGTTCAAGAGGAATTAAAGCAACATGAGAAAGGAATGGATGGGTTTGTGGTTAAAGGTGAGATAATTATGGTCCCACTACCATTGTGGCAAGACATGGGATTTGTGTTGACTTGAATACAGATAATGGGATTTAATACACATGAAGATCATTTGCAAACTTCACAAGGGAATTTTTATTTCAAACATACCTTATGCAGCCTATATAAGCCACAATCAAAGACATAGCTGAAAAATATGTGTAAATTGAAAAGAAAAAATTTTTTTTTGAACCAAGCAGCCCAACCAACCAAGATCTGTATCTCTGCATACTCTACTACTATACCACTCCAATAGATTTCACTGTATCTCCTGAACAACTGCGACTGAATAGAAAATAGACAGTTTTTCCCTCTACTCTTGTGTAAGTGGCTTCCACATTTCAAAACCCTAAAAGGGTACAACAGCAGTTAAAATCAATAAAAACAATAAACAAATATTCTATAATCTAGTATTTAGACGGCCTAACCTCCGTGGAAACTGACTCATGGTGCAAAACTCAGGTAAGGTAAATTAAAAGGTAAGTGGAAACCTATAGTAGCTTGAGAGGCCAAGTTTAAGTTGTGTTTCAGAGGTGAATATTGGGAAAATTAACCAGATAAACAGCACAATGCTGAAGGAGGAAAGCTCTGAAGGATGTTTCCCTGAATGTTTTCTTAACATGAATGGTACAGTGCCAGATAATTCAGGAATTAGGTGTTCCAGTTATTGACAGGCAATCAAACCAAAGTCATGGAAGAATTCTAGTATCACATAAAAGCACATTTTTTTTTTTTATATATATTGCATTTGTATTCATCTCTTTGTACTATATATAACTTTATGTATATTTTTCTTTTTATAAAAAAAAGTGGGTTAAATAGGGATAGCTGCCTGTTACATATTATGTATTATCTATGCTTATTGCATTTCATACACTGTGCCACTAGAGACTTTCTGTATATTATTCTGGTGTAGGAGTGGTTTTGTCAGTTAATAATAGTTTCATTACAGCATACAGACTCACTTAAATTAAAGGTTATTACACTTTAGTTGTCTACTTTAGAATAATAGCACTAACAATTGACCAGAACTCTTTAGTACTGCCAATGTTTGTTTATGGAGAATACATGGTTATGTGCTGGAATTTATGCACCTGTTAATGGATGAGTCTGAAACCCTAGTAGGGTTGTTCACCAATGTTTGGCCATATATTATATATCTTATATAATTAGATAGACCCTTGTTGAATGATTAGGATTATTGTTTACTCTTTAACAGGCTTCTGCTGATAATCAACATTTAACACCTAAACCCCATGAAACACTTTACCTTGTGTGAAGATTGTGCCCTCTTTTTTTGTCAATATAAAAAATTGCAAATTTGAATAGAAATTGGTACGTTTATAAATGAACCAGACAAGACAACTGTAGCCCTTTTAGCTATAATCTCAATGAAAAAAAATATGCCTAAATAAGTTCATGTGGGTTTTCATTGGGGGTATGTTTACAAACAGTATTTTTTTTTTATTTGGGCAGTGGAGTATCCCTTTAACTATACACCAAGCGTTATTGTTTCTCAATACAATATAGTTTTACAATAAACATGAATATTTTTAACTTGATTCTCCTTTTAATTCCATATACTCAAAAGTTGAATATCCCTGTCTTAAAAATTATGAACACATGTTTATTTTCAGTAGACAAATTTTAACAGGGAAATGGAGAGCAAGATCTTCAAAAAGCCAAAATATATTAAAGAAAAAAAGTAATCTAAAAGCTGTCAGATCATTCTGTATCCCAGCAGGATCTGTTTCATTGAGATAGATTCTGCAAAAGAACAATTTGCATACTATGTATCTGTAATTGGGAATCTCTAAAAGGCAGCATTTATGAGTAAGTATCAAGCAAAACAGATGCCCTTGGACATGTTGTTTCTAATGTTTCCATTGCATACATTATCAATTACTGTTCTGTTCTCTAGGTCTGAATGAAGAGAATCCTGTAATGTGAAGTAATTTAAAATATATTGCAAGGTGTAAAATGTGTACAGTAAAATTAAAGCATAGGGGAATCACGCACAAGTACAGAAGGTCACCAAAGTGATGATGTACGGTTGAAATCACGAACTAAAATGGAATTGTTGTAAACCATAAACTAAATTAATAGTTGTCTGCAGTCACCTGGGCTGGTTGGATATGGCTAGCAGGCCATAAATATATTGGCTTTGATGGGCAATAAAATATTTCTCTCTGTATGGGAAATGCTCTCTTGTTGCAAATATTCATCTGCTAGGAAAACGGATGCAACAGTATCACTTCCCTTTATAGTACCATTAAAACTATGCAATTCACTTTCTAAACATATTGCAACCTACAGTACGCATCACAGGGCTGGGTATGGTGTTTAATAAGAGTGATCTAAGATAATATAGAAGAAAAATGTGCAATAGGTGCATTTTATGTCATACCTTTGAGCTCTTTGGCACTATGGAAAGCATAATTGTGTAATCAGGATAATTAAAATAACTTATTATGAATGTAGAATAGAGTACTTCTTAGGTGACAATTCTCACATATTGTTTTGAGAAAAAAAAAGAGTTAGGGCTTTTACTAAGGGTAGATGTAGATTTGTTTAGTAGGAATTATACACTTATGTAGCATCTGCTATTTGTAACTGTTGGTCTTAACTCCCCCCTCTTTTAATTTGGGCAGAGGGAATTAAGTAGTGAAACTTAAGAGGAATGTAGGGCAGCAAAACGTTTAGTTTAGGTAAAGCTGACTTTATATACTGTGCAAATGCTCTTTCTGGTTTGGTCTTTCTAAGACCACGGCATGTCCCCTTTCTTCTATCCTAACTACATCCACTTTTTTCCCATGCCAAGATCTTCTTCTGCTAATAAGAAGATAAAGAGAGGAGTGGACATGGGAGTGCTAAGTTACAGTCCCTAAAAAGTGTAGAGTAGATATATTATTAGATTAATTTTCATTAAGCTCAGAGTACTGGAAAAGCACTGACTGCTTAGTATGCTCTTAGTTTGCCAGCCTGCATGATTGGCAAGCAGTCTGAAATGCATCCAGTTCTTTTGGCAGATCCACCACCTGTCTGGACAGGTCTAACCCTTTGGGCAGTGCTTGTTACATGATTTGCATCAGTGGCCCACCCTTTTACCCCACCTACCGACGTGCTACTTCACTGGATGCTGTTGACAGATGAAAGCGAGAGATTCATAGATGAATCCTATGATTTTTCTTCCAGCACCACCTCCACCAGATATATGACACTTGGGAGGCATGAACATTTTTGTGTTTTCTGTCAATAAGAGTCTGTAATGAGGTTCATGATAATTGTCAGCACCAGGCCCAATGGGTTCTTAATTAGGTCATGGTTAATCTGCCGTTAAGGGAATGGCCATCATCCACAATGGATAGGTAATGCTTCTCTTGGTCAATTAGCAAGGATCAGAAGATATTTTATTTTATTGGTGGATTATGAGAAGGACTTCTTGATGAACAGATTCCTGGAAAAATAGCATGATTCTGTGATAGTCAGGAAAGCCAACCTGAGAGCCAGAGATCAAGACTAGATTTAATTGATAAAACAGGGAATATTATTGTCAGATATAATAGTAACTTATTAAGGTACATTCATGAGAGATCCAGCTCTTCTCATTAACACTAGCTCCTTACATTACCACAACTTGTTTCTATTCATTGTGGTTCATCATTATATTGATAGTGACTGTAGTATACTCAGGGCCGGTGCAAGGATTTTTGCCGCCCTAGGCAAAAGAAAGATTTGCCGCCCCCCCCCCGCCGGGGCCTCGCAATGCCCCACCCATATGATCTGCCATATGAACTAGTGCCAGTGCTGCACACAGTGTGTGTGTTTACATTAAAAAGCCTGCAGGGACAAACTATAGAAACCAGAACAACTTTATTAAGCTGCAGTGGTTCTGGGGACTATAGTGTCCATTTATTGTGAGGTAAATTAGAGATTAGTGTCACTAATAATATACTAGATTGCCTACTTACAATCAGATGAGGATGATGATGGGCTGTGGCTGCAGTCTGGCTCCACTGGTCTGGTGTAGAACAGGATCTCTGGAGGCTGTTTGTAACTGTGGTCACAAAATTCAATGTTCTGGGAGAACGGGAAGCAGCTCAATTTTGTGGGGCCTCTTACATAGCTCAAGGTCTGGGCCCCAGGGCCTGACGGTGAGTATGCCCATAAAGCCCACCCATAAGTCCACCTACATGAGTCCGCTCACAGGGAGTAGAGTGTGTAGGGGATGTGTTATGTGTTACTGTAGAGGATCTAATGTGTGTGCTTATGGAATGTAGTGTATAGGGATACCAGTTTGTGTAGGTGATGCAGTGTGTTTGTGTGTAAGGGATAGAAAGCAGTGAGTGTTTGTGTATACGGGATGTATTGTGTGTTTGTCTGTAAGGGGTGCGTTGAGTGTGTGTAAGAGATGCATTGTGTTTCTGTGTGTGTGTAAGAGAAGCAGTGTGTGTTTGCATATGTGTGTAAGGGATGCATTGTGTGTTTCTGTGTATGTGTGCAAAGGATGCATTGTCTTTGTCTAAGGGTTGCATTGTGTGTTTCTCTGTGTGTAAGGGAAGCATGTTGTGTTTCTGTGTGTATAGGGATGCATTGTGTGTGTGTGTGTGCGCGTGGTGTGAAAGAGCTCCCTGTCCTGCCCCCTGTCCTATAGAGCTCTCCCTTAGAGATCTCCCCCGCCCCTTAGTGGTCTCTCCTCTCCCCCCACCTCCCTTAGTGGTCTCCTTTTCTCCCCGACTTTCCATTAGTGGTCACTCCTCTCCCCCCACCCTCCCCTAGTGGTCTATCCTCCACCCCCCTCCTTTAGCGGTCTCTCCACCGCCCCCTCCCTCCTTTAGTGGTCTCTCCCTCCCCTACGTTCTCATCTCCCACCCCCCATGTTCTCCTCTTATTCCCCCCTCCCCGTGTTCTCCTCTTCTTCTCCCCTGTAATCTTCTCTTCTTCTCCCCCCTCCCTGTAACCTTCTCCACTCCCCCTCCCTCCCTGTAATCTTCTCCCCCCCTATAATCTTCTCCCCCCTCCCCTATAACCTTCTCCACTCCCCCCTCCCTCCCTGTAATGTTCTCCCCCCTCCCATCTTCCCCTATAATCTTCTCCCCACTCCTATAATCTTCTCCCCCCTCAATAATCTCCTCCCCTGTCCCCTAATAATCTTCCCCACTCCCATAATCTTCTCCCCCTCCTATAATCTCCTCCCCCCACTTCAATAATCTCCTCCCCCCCCTATAATCTCCTCCCCCTCCCTGTAATGTTCTCCCCTCCATCTTCCCCCAATCTTCTCCCCTCCCTCCTATAATCTTCTCCCCTCCAATAATCTCCTCCCCTATAATCTCTCCCCCCTAATAATCTTCCACTCCCCATAATCTTCTCCCCCTCCCTATAATCTCCTCCCCCACTCAATAATCTCCTCCCCCTCAATAATCTCCCCTAATAATCTTCCCCCACTGCAATCTTCTCCCCCCCTCCTAATCCTCCTCCCCACTCCAATAATCTCCCCCTCCCTCCTCTCAATGTACATTCATGATGATCCCTCCCTCTCAATAATCTCCCCCTCCCTCCCCTGTAATGTCCTCCTCCTCCCCCCTCATTAACACTAGCTCCTTACTATAATCATCTCCTCACCCCTGCCCTTCTGTAGCGTGGCCGAGCTGCTTTCGGTTGACTGATAGGAAGTGCACACTGAGTGTGCACTTCCCTTCATTGTGGTTCATCTATTCAGACGGCTGCAGAATTTAAAGGGCCGGCGATGGGGGCGCAGGGCGCCCCCTCCTATATGGCGCCCTAGGCGGCTGCCTAGTTCGCCTTATAGGAAGCGCCGGCCCTGAGTATACTGGCACCATTTCATAGAGCTGAAATTAAATAGCTCATGTTCATGCAGAGTCAGATTAAGTTTGCCCAGGGCCTGGCAGAATGCCAAATTGAGGCCCCGTCCTAGAGCCCAGGGCCTGTTTCTGCGAGTAATATGTGTGGTGGCTGAATGTTGTGTGTGTGAGTATGTGAAAGAGGGTGAGAGGTGTGTGCTGTTTAAGATTTGTATGTGTGGTGGATGAATTGTGTGTGCAGGGGAGTCCCTGAGTCGGTCCCCTATCCCCCCTCCAACCTTGCTTACCTTCCATGAGTGTTAGCTGGTGGAAATCAAGCATTTCTTGATGTGGCAGCTATTTATAATTGGTGTATAAAGGTTTATTATTATGACATTATGTCATATATTTTTCAGTAAAGCTAAATAAATAAGTGAAAGGTGGGTGAAGAGCAGTGAGAACAGTGAGTGCAGGCAAGCCTCTGTGTAGAGGTCACTCCAACCACAAATGTAAACACCAAAAACTAGAAAGCACAGGGTGCCACAATCACTATATCGGCAATATTAAATAGGGGTAAAAAAGGAATATAGATAATAAGGTAAAAAATAGCAAGAGTTTATTGATAACAAAGTATACACACTTGCAGCACAATACATGTGCAATACATCAAAAATAAATATAAAAAGGCCACAACAGGCCAAAGACCCTTAGGTACAGCAGCTTAAAGGACCACTATAGTGCCAGGAAAACATACTCAAGAGCCACGCACGCATTCAGCCAGTCCATAGGAAAGCATTATCAATGCTTTCCTATGGACGCTGGCGTCTTCTCACAGTGAGAAGCGCTGAAAATCACAGTGAGAAACGCGGAAGCCCTCTAGCGGCTGTCAATGAGACAGCCACTAGAGGCTGGATTAACCCATAGGTAAACATAGCAGTTTCTCTGAAACTGCTATGTTTACAGAAAAAAAGGGTTAATCCTAGGTGGACCTGGCACCCAGACCACTTCATTAAGCTGAAGTGCTTATAGTGGTCCTTTAACACAACATAGTACTGGACTGTATGAAAAAGTGCAAGTGCCAAAGTGCAAGTAAAAATAGAAGTAAAAGTGCACAAAGTCAGTCACTTTCAAACTCAGTATACAATAAGCCAAAGGCAAAATTTTGCACAAACAGTATAAAAACCAGCATATATGTAAATAAAACCGCTAATACCAAAGTGCAGGTTCACAGCATATGCTCAATGCGTTTCGTCTTGCGACTTCCTCAGGAGCTTCTTCTTTCTTCAAAATCTTCTTCCCTTTTGAATCTGCCGGTCTGTGCAGTCACTTCCGTGATCGCCCATGCGAGCGCCACGTCACGCGCCACGTAACGCACACCGTCATACGTCATGACGTACACGTGACTGGCCCGCGCATGTGCGACCATGCTGGAATGCAGGATATCTTTATTGATCATGTACACAGCCGCAATAAGGACGCTCTAAATCAAAAGCGTCCGAAACTGATGTGGTCTGTGTGTACACTTCCTGCCTACCCCCCGGCTGACCCCTAACATCCATAACTACCAGCCTAAAGAGTAATATAAATAGGACTGGTGGGGGAAAGAAAAAATACAAAGAATATATAAAGTATATAAAAAATATATAAAAAATTTATACAAAAAAGTGGAAATAATGGAAAAACATATAAATGTGTAAAATTAAATGAAATGGGGACCCAGAAGTGTATACAAGTATGTTGGGTGGAGATGAGTCTATTTATATTTCCAGTAAGCAAAAAAGATCCATACATGGTACATTAGTTGATGGTTATCAGTACATACATCAATGATAAGGGCCTATATAACTTAGAAACCATAAAGAACAGGTGTAGTACATACATATAGTGGTACATAATGAGAACAGCAGATAAAAAGACATCAGGACCTATAAAATGGTCTTCAGGAACTATAAAGTGGTCTTTCATACATAAATAGTCATAATTCTTAGAAATGAAGGCATAAAAATGAAAGTATATTTTTTCAGTGCCTGGTATCTCCAGTGTTAGCTTTCATAGTTTTGATAAGCTTTTGAAGATGCCCAAAGATCACAGAGGTGGTAGATATGACTTGATTGTCATATCAGCTCAGTGTTATTATTTTAACTTTTAGAGTATGTCTTCACTAGGACGAAATCCAGACAACCTCTTTCAGCTTGAATTCAGGTTGACTGAACTGCTTTAGAATTCTGAAATGTCTTGTAACAACAGTGTGTATTAAACTCCAAAGTGGGAATTAACAACTAGGTTATTGAGTAGTTGTTTTTTTTGTCATATTTGATCATAAACATATAGAGACCTGACTGTCGTGCTGAGTACTTATCTATGGGGATAACCTTGAATTACTAATGTCCAACATGCTTGCCCAACTGGGTATGTCAGACAATGACAAGTCCCTTTAATGAAAAAATAACATTAAATAAAGTACCTCACATAAAAAAAACAAATAGTTAAAATGTGGATGATAGACAAAGAAGGGGCGAGGAGCACATAAATGCAGATAACTTAGGTTTATACAATAAACCATTAAAGATGTCCTCTAGACAGGAAACATGCTTATTGCATACCCAAGGGATAACCCACAGTGGGGTCAAGTGAATTCCTCCTCCTATGAAATAATTAAATGCTATTTATAGTCCATTCTATGCAATAAGCACCTTTCCTGCTTAGATGACCTATCTAAGGGTTAATTGTATATACCTCAGTTATCTGCATGTATCTGCTCTTTCCCCCTTCTTTGCGTTTAAGACAATTTTAACAGTTTGTTATTTATGTGAGTCCCTTTATTTTTATTTTTTCCAATAAACTATATGTTATTTTTTCATTAGATGGACTTATAATTGTCTGTCATCGCCAGTTTGGCATATTGGACATTTATTATTTGGTATTTGATCATTATTAGAGTCCTAAATCTAAAATTCATGTATTCCATATAAGCACCCCTTAAAAAGTTGATGTGTTTAACCTAACTGACCTCTTTATTGAACTAATAGATACTAACTAAAATTTGTTTGTCTCAATTGATTCTTTTTGGGGAATAACTTTGGTTCAGTTAGACAAAATTTATACACGCTGCATTTTGGTCCAGAGAAATTTCCATGTGACCGTGCTGGGGAAAATTCACATGAACCAAAATAGTGCATAAATGCACCTATTAGTATACAGCAAAAAAAAAAAATACTTTTAGTTTTTTGTTTTTTTACTGCTCCTCCATTTTTTCCCTATTGGGCACTCCTCTTGATCTGTGAATGAAATCAGCATGTATAGGCTGTACCTTAACCTTCAATTAGCTAAACAGAACAAAACAAACAGAATGGCTTGTCCATTGTATTTTGCATTTCTTGCATTTCTATTGTTTTATAATATGTCCATATTGTATTCCAGGGTTGCACAATTCTGCCGAATAAGCAACTGCCAAAAATTCATACAAATCACAATTCATTTGAGACTAAATGTACACATTAAATGTATATCATGATGTTCATGATACTGACAGTGATAACTAGTATGTGGGAAATAATTTAACCAGGTCAGTGACGTTTAATATTACTTCTTAGTTAAAATACAATTAGTTTTCTGGCAGTGAACTAAATATTCATTTTGGAGCCATCTGGACCCTTCAGAAAAGAGGAGGGAGGTGTACTTTTTATGTTTGAGAAAGACGTATTTATTTACAATGATGAAAACACATAGCTGATGAAGATCCTTGACACATTTTTTTCCAATTTTCCTGCTTAATACCCAACTAATCATTCTAGATTCTTCATTATGCTTGTACATTTGATTTGAAACAAATAGTAAATCATCCGAATCTCGGCCAATTGGCGGGTCACCTGAATTCTGTAATTACAAAGCTCCATATAAATA